TTTTTGATACAACAGACGATTTCCATCATTCAGTATTAAAGCATTACCAGCCCTAACTTGGTTTATAATAAAATTCTTTAGTCCATTGGGTAATAGCTTGGGCAATAAAGTTTCTTTAACACTATTCCATAGCCTTATTTCTTGTAATACCTTCTTAATTGGAGAGCTTGAAGTATCCAATGTTTCAACATCCAGAATTCCAAAAAGTAGCAAGTTATTCGAGCTTAATTCTACTTTTAAAAATGCATTCTAATTGTCTTTACAATCTCGCTTATATTCATAAATTTTAGCTAATTTGATTTAAACAAGTAATTAATATTTAGATATAAATTAAATTGGTAAAATTAATAAAATTTTAATTACATTTGTGATCCTTTTTTTTGCTTCAATTAATTCCAACGGTTCATATAATATATAGTCTAGAACTTCATGCCAACCTAGTCTTTTAGCACAAGATTCAATATATACACTATATTGAAGATAAGTGTTATGGTCTTGAGTAGTTTTGATAAGGTCTATTAAAGTTTGAAGCTCTGACTATAAAAAAATTTACGATTTAGTATAAGTATAAAAAGTAAGCAATAATTTATTTTAGTATACTTCAAAAATTATTTCTAAGTGAAGGGCTATTTTTTATATGGGGAATTTAATTTAATCAAGTCCCATTATTTAATAAGTATTTAAATTATTTCTAAATCAAGTCCCACACACTAGGATAAACAAAGTTTATGAAAACAAAGAACGAATAAGTATATACCGATTATTTAACCAAATGAATAATAAATTCAAGCTCCTAAATGTAGGAGATTTAAATTAAATCAAGTCCTACATGTTACGAGGCTTGCATTTATAGCTTAAAACATTATTTGCATAAATTAACATATAATGTCTTCAATTATGACTTAAATTATTTTTATGTGTGGGAGATTTAGATCATTTGGCGCTATGAAGTAGAAACATACAGTCTACAGATCCTTATGCATAGAAATTTATATATAAACCAACTGCATAATTAAATTAGATATCAAATATAATGATTATTACTTACTGAATGATCATTATTTATCTTTTTTTTTTGTTTTCTAGATAATGTGGTATTTAAATTTTGTTTTATTTGGCTTATATTTTTTTTAAAATCAATTTTGTTGGTAATCGCACTAAAGAGATAACAATGATATAAATTTACGGTTAATCCTTTTCTTTTAGCAAAATCAAAATAAGATTCTTGGCCCATTGTTTAGATTTAAATACGAATTCCAAAATGATAATAATTATTTAAATGTAAACAATATGTATGATGTAGATCACTACATATTAAAAGTTGAACCATTAATATTACACGAATGTCACACATTCATTAGCCAATAAAATCATACTGTATTATTTTGCATAGACCCATATACAAATAAAATTTGCTCGAATTTTACATGCCGTTTCGACTATTTAAGATGTGTAAGGATAGTGGATAGTTCGACAGACAAATAAATGGAATAGGATCAATTTCATGTATCATGTTAATTATATAAACAACTATTCAAATTAAAATAAATATTAATTTATATCAATAAAAAGGCAAAATTGCATTTAATAAGACTTACTTGGTAGAATAAACCAGGTAATTGATGAGATTATCGAAATAGCACTATAAAGGTTTCAAAACAAAAAAAGTGTTTATTATATATTTAATGGCAAAGAGTACTTAAAGATTCATCAAAAATAGACAAAATAACTAAAGTCTCTCGCTTCATAGCAGTAATGACAAAATACTGCAAGAAAACTAATTGCTAAATATACGAGTTATAAAGTTTTATACTAAAATAAATTAAACGAATATTCATTAAAAAATATAAATAATATATATACCAGCAGTTAATAAAGTGAGTGCAATATATCTAAAGAAAATCTTGAAAAAATAAATAAAATTTATAGTAAATAGCTGCATCCTTAAAATTGTCCTGTACTTACGCATATTCAACTCCTTTATTATACTTAAGCATATCATCAGTTTATCAAAAAGTTTGACCTTTGCTATTGCTATAATAGAGAAATTTGAATAATTTTAACACATACATATTATTGTTATATGGATATTATTCTTTATCAAATATTCAAACGAATGTTACCAAGCGATAGACAAAAAAATGTAAGAATAAAAGCTAGCACAAGCAGTAATGTCAAAACAATTGTTCCTTTTTCACCTTCAGTCATTTGAACTTTGCGGATTAATTAATTTATATATCATAAAAATATATAATACATTCACACGATACATTTGTTAAATCAAATTCTCTATAAATAAATACTAATAATCCAGATATTATATCACACCCACGTCATTATTTTTTCTGTTGTAAACTTCACATGTAAGGTAATTATGTTTTTCGGATATTGGCAAACTGTAAATGTTTACAGCATACAAATTAGAGTGTTCAGAAAATGCGGATTAAATTCAGTTTCTATTGTTTAAGCAATAGAAACCAAATTGAATCCGCATAATCTGGATAATCTGGACACACTACTTACCTGGATAATCTGAACATACTACATACAAATTATATTAAACTTATTATTCTTTTTTTTTTATGGTGAACAAGAAATGTCTATAATATAATATATTATTTATTATTTACTTAAACATTATCATTATATATAAGATCAGATATGAGTGCAAGGTTTGTGATTAATTATTGTCACGGCTAAAGCTGGAAATTAGGGACCTCGATTTGAAATATAAACCATACAAAAATTCACTTATATATTATATATATATATATATAATTCACTTAAATATGAGTGTTTAAATTACTTAGCAATTTATCTTTTAGCTACAATTTCAGTTTTTATAAAAGCTTTAATGCTTTATAATTGAAATTATATTTTCATTAAAAACATCTATATTCCATAAAAGATTTGAAAAATAACATGATTATAACTTACCATTGAATTACAAAAGAGTTGAATTTCGGAGACTGATGACTTGTATCATTATCATCTAAAAGACTTTTGAGAAAAAGATCATAATTTTCAACAGTGCTATTCATCAAAATTTTGCTGTAATTCCAGCTTCAACCATAATATTAGCAGGACAGTGTGTTAAATTAAACAATTCTATTAACCTCCAAGTTCCAAGTCAGTACTTTCTCTCCTGTCTTTCCTTTATGTTTAAAATTGATTGTATTTTTTCACATACAAATCCATGCAATATATTATGAGAAGGAGGCTTATTCATGTTTTGTTCATACTAGCATTAAGCATTATAATTAAAGAAATGTAAGCTTTTTTGAGGTCATAAAGCATTTTTAATCTCTTTTCATCAACTTTATATTTTAAAGAAGTGATTTGATCAAATTGAAAAATCCATTCTTTTAAGTATCCTTCTAATTTTTCAATGCTTGTTGAATATTTGAGTGATGATTGGAATAAAATATTAATTTCAATGTTATTTTTATCAAAGAGGTCTTCAAAATTTGTAGTAAGGGAATCTCTAATTGAATTGCTATTTGAGAAGAGTTTGTCTCTATTTAATGTTAACTAAGTTAACTGTTTATTCGCGAATTTATTTTTAAGGACTTTTGCCTCATTACTTAGATCCTAGAAATTTAGTATAAATGAATGAGATTCTTAAATAAATTTTTAATAATGTAATACGTAAGTTAATATATATAATCTTAAACTTACTGAACTTTCATTGTTAGTATCTTCCTTTTATTGATAAATGAATTAGAAAATGATGAAACTAAAAAAAAAACACAATATCATAGGACTCAATAGAAAAAATATTAAGATAAGATTTATTCACCCTATTCACTTGTTTACCCTTAGAATCTGTTGTTTTGGGTTTCTTTGATATTTCATACTTTTGTTTGATCTTATGTTTGTGCTTTTGGGTTGAAACATCTTGTTCCTCAATTTCTTCTTCAGAATTCAAATCATCTGATTCCTTGACACAGAATTATTATACAGATTTTCATTATATTGGTGTTAAAGATTTTAAAATCAAAATTTCAATAATATCACATACCAAAATATTAATAGAATCATTTGAAGCTAGATAGTTTCAAGTAGTTAGAAATAATTAATAACAATTATACTAAAAATTTATTTTAAGTCTTACTTCTTGGTTTCTCGACTTTATCAATATAAAATTCCTGTTAAACAAAATTATACAATTAGAGCTATTCAAAATTATTTAAGGGCAGTTCCAGTTAAAGGGTATAAAATACAGTATTTTACTAAAACTTTCATATAGTGATAGAACGCTGAACATTTCTGACAATAAGGAAAAACCATATAGTAAAAAAGAAAAAATCTATAATAAGTTCTGACTATGATACTTAGTAATAATTATAATTATTATTATAATTATTATTATTACAAATTATCTTTATTATGATGTATTAGTTAAAATTCTTACCAGAATAGGGTCATCAACATAAACTGAAGGTGAATTAGAAGGAATATTTATTATTGTGCTTTCATTAGCCTTTTGTTTTTCTTTGGCCTTTTGTCAATTACAAATTAGTTTTCGATATTACAAAGCAAAAAATTTATTCATGATATTTACTTGTAATTTGAATTTTTTCGAACTTCAAAAAGTTTCACTGATTATAGGTTTGTGCTTTAGGCTCAACCTCGACATTAATTTGTCAAAATTTTGTTCGATTTCTTCAGAATCAGATTGAAAATCACCAAATTTTTGTGTTTCCTGTAAATTTTTACGTATTATATAATTCTATGATGATCTGAAGAAGTTAAAACATAATTTTTACGTACAGACATGACATTTTTTGCTTG